ATTCTAGGTAGGAAGGAGTTTCCCAGGGAGAAACTGCTCAGGAAAGACTGAGTTTCACATGAGTGAACTCCTTCAGAGGACGGGCTAGAGCAGTGGCTTTACATTTGGTGAACTATGGACTCCTAAATGCTTCGTGATGGTGGATTTTCTCTGTTAAAGGTGTGGACCTCTTCTGAAATTTCATATGGATGCAAGGCAGGTTTTTTTAGTCACCTTTTGAGAGTAAAAACAGTTGCTTAAAGAACACAGTCCACTATTCTCCAAGTCAGCCGTGGATCAGACAGAAAATACTGGGTTTGAATATTACAAGGAATATTTGGGTTTGTTTTTGTTTTTTACGCTCAAAAAGTGTTTTTAATTGACAGGAGTGTTCAACTGTGGCTAGATAGAAGAATGAAGAACATTTCTGGGAAGGTCAGGTAGCTGTATCAGGAGAATTAAGCCAAAATGAAAATTTAGGGACTGAGTCTTGGATACACTAGAAGAGCTAGATGAGAGCAGGGGTTTTGCACTATTTGCCACTAAACAAACCCCTAAATAAGTACTTTCTCCCGATAGCTTGCAATTAAGCCCTCATAATTTCTCTGCTGTTGATGAACAGACTTTGTTAGCACAATTGGCAGAACCTTAAGTGGTTCATCGAAGCTTCCACCGTGTGGCTCATCATGAAAAACATGTAATACCACGGAATGAAATTTCTTTCCCCTCCTCTCTCTTTTTTTTGAGCTCACTTTCTGTACATAAGACTTGAGAGCTTTCTCATGCCCAAAAATGAGAGTGGGCTGCTAAAATGCTGAGTGAACACACAGCTGCAGGTGAGCAAAGAGAAACATGTGCTTCCTGTGCATGAAATTCTGTAAAATTCTAAGTATTTTGAAAAATCACGTGGTAGGTGTTGCAGCCAGGATGGATGGCTACTTTCTGCTTTTGTCTTTCTGTGCCTCATATACCCACTAGTATAATGAATGAAGAATACATTCTCCACTCACTCTCCAACCAGTGTGAAGATAATAAATTAAATAATTTTGAATTTGTGAGAACGATCATACAAAAGTCTGTGAGAGAACAATTATGTCTTTGTCTAGGTTAACATGTGCATTTAGTCATTGGCTGAGTGTCGTTCCCAAGAGGAGGGCTGTTCTGTACACTGACAAACACAGGTCCCACTACAAAAATATACCAGTCCGTATTGCAGGGGAATGCTTTCCAGAGGGAAGGGAATGAGAATTGTACAGGTATCTGTAAGTCTGGCATCACTTACATTTTGAATATTTGACTCTGCGACTTTCATATTCTTTTAATGTGGATTTTTTGCTAGTCCTATGTAGTGTTAACAAAGTTATATGCCAAAAAAAAATCTTGAATTTTAGTAGTTGAAAATTTAAAATGTTATAACACTTTAAACAAATAGAAAGTCAAAGATACCAAAAAAAAAAACACTTAAGGGGAACTTACTTAACTTTATGCTATAAACATGCCATGGTTTGCTTACATTTAGTTTATCTACCCTGAAATTCTCATGGGTTTTATCTCTAGATCTCCTGAAATGATACAGCCTGCAAGATTGCACGTAGGTGTAAACACGTCTGGAGCCAGGCACGTCGTTTACATCTTCCTTGCGAAGGTCTGCGTGCAGGTGCCCGGGCTGGTGGCAGCGGGGGGGATGTAAGGGCACCCCAGGCCGGGGATGTTCCCACTTGGTGAGCCGTGAGGGAGAGCAAGCTGCAGCCATATGCTGAATATGTGATATACACATGTGTGTGTACACATACATACACCTCCTTTGTAAGACAGACCAGCCCCAAAGAAATCCTGAGCCCCAGGTGCCCTACACAGATGCAGTGTTCATCATAGCTTGCTATGCTCCAAAGTTGTGTCTTCATCTTCTTTTTTCCCTCCTTTTGGCACTCCCTTCTCTTTCTAATTCCTCCTTCCTGACTTCTGTAAGAGGCTGAGGAGGGAGAGGCTGCCACGCGCCAGGGCAGGGAGGCAGCTAGTGGCATGAGAGAAGCAGAGGCCGGGGTTGTGCCACGCTCGCGCCGTGCAGGACGCCCACAAGAGCCTGCTTGATCCACCTTGATCAAAGACGCTTTGCTCACACTCTCTTACATTTTTTGCCTGGCATCTGGTGGTGCTGGGAGGTCTAATTCTGCTTCTGGAGTGGCACTGGGGACTTTGCGGGTGCAGTGGCACCGCGCGCTGACACAGAATCCTCACCGTGTTGTAGCCCAGTGTATCCATTTCCAAGACTGTGGTGGATGAAAACATCTCCTGAAGGGCTACGGTATCAGCTACCAGGAATATACATTTGTTATCTGGTGTTTAGGAGCCTGTCACTGTTATAATCCTTTATGCCCGAATAATCGGTAATAAAGCAGTGCTACGAGTGCAAATTAAGGAACATCAAGTCAATGGGTATGCGACTCACGCTGATTTGAACAGGAGCTGATTGGGATAAATGGATTTAATATATACTTATGTTCTGTGGCTATTCTGGCATACCTACAGGAAGTAGCAGATGAATAATCTAAAGAAGGTGCTGACTTACATCTCTAATAGGCTAATGGGAGACAGTTTTTAAAAAAAAAACAGAGAGAAAAAAAGGAAAAAGGATTCAGATACTGGCTGGTTGTGAAATAAATGATAAATGTGAGTTTGCCAGATAGTGTTAACAGTCATTTCAAAGCACATTTATCTGATACCTATTTGCATAACTGTCTACATATTCTGCTAATGCAATTAATATTCTACTTTTATGAGTTTTGAATGCCACTTAAATTTTCTTGGATTTTGACTATGCTAGGAAGTCTACACAATTTATGCCTTCGTTTTGTGTTTTTCTATTCTGTATGGAGCTATACAAATTCTCTACAAATAGAAATAATACCAAGATTTTAAATTTCACAGTCTTAATTCCAACAAGAAAACCCTTACAGGTATAGGTTAAATTACATAATCAAGTCTGTAATTCTATCATTAGACTTCTTAAGGACTTATGTTTAAATACTGTGAAGAATAGAACTATGCTCCTGTCTGTAATTTTCTATGTAGAGGGAAAAGCAGGCAGATACCCTTCAGCTTCATATTTTATACTTCCATCTAGAACTAGATTTTTTCCTATTTCAATTGCAGTGCCCTGAAGATAAGGAAGGCAGCATAGTTAGCTAAATTCCACTACAAAAATAGTTTTTTTCTGGTCACCTGTTTTCTGGTTTTTGATTCTAGGATGCCGTAAGTTCCCAAGAATAGTTTATAACTTTGTCCTTAATGTTAGAACTGTAGAATGATGATGCGAAAAAGCATGCTGAAACATAGAAGGGTTGTTTTCAAAAAAAAACAAAACAAAAAACAAAAACAACAACAAAAAACAAAACAAACCCTAAAGAACCTGGGATTGCAGGGACTAATTTCAGTTGCCTGGGACATTTTTTTATATGTTCGATTTTCTTGCCTCTCCCTACTTCTGTAGAGGCACTTAATGTTTCATTGGTGGGCAGATGCATTCTTTAGCCAGACCTAATTTGCTTTCATTTTATGGAGTAAAACTTGCTTTTTTCTCCTCACATATTGCACAGTATTCCAAGAGCAGGTCTGTATGGGCAAAGGGCATTACGTTATATTGGTACAAGAGTGAAGAATTAGATCCGTCTCGAACTGCAGATCCATTACTCTTCTTTTTGTTTACGGTGTATGTGAAAGGGTGCTTTGTTGCTGCCATCTAAGTGTTCTACAACCAATATTTTCATCTTTTTACTTTGTATCCTGCTTTATCATTACGAGGAAAAAAAAGATTGCAGAGGACATATGGCAATTTCTTCCTCAAGAGAGGGACAAGAAGCTGTCCCTCCCTTAACCGTAGCAGCGTGATTGCGGTTTCTGTGAGGCTCCATATCTCACCCCCTTCCTCCTTGGTCTTGGGAAAAAAACAGCTTTTTCCCATTCAGCCAAATCGGAGTGCAATCTCGTGGTTGGAAGTGTTTGTCTTACACATGCAACACACAACGCTGAGGGTTAATAGTGAGTGACAAAGCAGTGGCCAGACTGAAGCCATTATCCAGCGCAGAACGAGGAAAGATCAAATCCTGGGAATACGGGAGCGCAGCAGTTGTGTTGGGAGGCCTTGCAAGAGGGGATGGGATCTTGCCACATCCTGTCTCCGTGCGGGCCGGCGGTGGCCGTCGACAGACCACGTGCCGCGGGCTTTGGCTGCACGGGTTAGCCCCCCGGGCTCTAAATCCATCTTGTGCTCTGTCTTGCCTCCCTTCATCCATCCTATTCAGATCTTAAGCCTTGCTATTCTTGGGTATGCCATGTTATTTATTTCTATACAACTCAAACCTCAGTTTAATTTTCCCCCACTCTTCCGAACGGGATGGATCACCTGGCTCCTAGCCCTGGTACGCCCTCCTCTGCCCTGCACATATGGTCTGACTTATTTTACATAATTGGCTATGTGTGTGCAGAAGAATAAGTGTGACTGAACTGAAGCAGAAGAAAATTATTCCTCCCTCCTTAAAACCCTGTTAATCCAATCGGAATTACGGCAGTGTGCTGGTTATTCTGTCAGAGTCCTATGTGACCTGCAAATCAAAGACCACGCAGCATGGTCAGTGTTTTAAAGCACATAGGCTAAGTAATGACTCTTATGTTGTGTTGAAAAGTGGATTTCATTACTAGCTTTATTTTTTTATGCATAAAAATCAAAGCATGTGAAAAGAAATCAGAGGAAAAAGGCCTAATCTCAGAAAGGTAGCATCTCTTTCTCCTGCAGGCCTCGTTTCTAAAATACTGCTTCATTGAGTCATGAGTGTGTCTGCCGAAAAGGGAATTTCTTGCATTTTTAAAAGCTGTGAAGTACATTTTCATTTCGTAATGTAAGATCTCTCATGTCAGGTGCACCTGCTCGATTTGCATGTGAATTCTGAACAGTTCTTGTTTTATGTGACACTTCTGAAATGTCTGTCTGTTTTTTTTTTTTTTTTTCTCCCTTAATTCTCAAGCTCACTATTTGGATAAGATAGTGAAAGGTACTGTATATTTGCTCTTTGCTGACATGCCTATACATACATGTATTTTCTTATATATGAATACGTAGTAACCACTGTACTAGATTTGGCAAAAGAATTTTTTCTTACACATACATTCCATGGATTATAGATTTAATTCATGCTAGTTTCAACCCATCTCAAATTAAAATATAAAATCTCACTTGTGTAATATAATAATATTTTACTAGTTGTTACACATTTCTGTGCAAACTGTATACGTGTTATTAGATTTTGCTTGAACCAAAGACTGAAGATAGTATTTGTTTGCTGTTTGGTGCTTTATCTTTGTTGGTTTTGTCATTGGACTTCTACCTATGAAAAAGTAAATATTTAGGAAAAGAAGCAAAATGATACTCCTGTCACAGGACAAGTATCAATAGCTCTGAAGAATAGAGTACACTACAGATATGTTTTATGTGTAGCCAGATCAATGGAATAACTGGAGCTTTAAACTTTTGTTTATCTAAGTGTTGACAAATCTATAGAAAATTAGGACTATGCAATGCTGTCAATTAAAAGGCTCTGGGATGTAAATACCCAGTATGAAACAGCAAAGATTCTTGTATCTTCAGTTATGGTAAAATTTGATAGAAAAAATGTTAAAAAGAAATCCTACCCCTCTATTCCCTGAATACCTTTTTCTATTCCCTCTTTGTGTTGTTTTTTTTTTTCATTAGAATATGGCAATATTCATGGCAATATCCAGGCTTTCACACAATAATTCTTGAGAGTACCCAATTGACTTCTAAAACGCTCTGCCGGTAGGGCAATTAAATCTTCCATAAATGAAACAGAGAAACATTCTGAAAAAAAAAACAGCCCTCTGTGCATCAACAAATACTGCTAGCAGCTCCAGTCTGAAAGAAAAAGAGTAGCAAGACTAATCTCAGCCTGGCATGATGGCATGATATCCATAACTATAACGTGTTCATACTTTCTCATAAGAGGCTGTTATGGTTCTCTGCCTTCTATGAGTAATTCGACAAGAGTTGAGAGCCCTTTATAACTTTTTCTGGGGATTTTTGTAATTTGAAACTGCATAGTTGAAAGGAGTCATTATAGTCATAATTCTTTAGAAGAAAAAAATGAGCTATTGCTTCTGAAAGAATGCTCTAGGCTCAAGCAAATTTAACCAAAACAGTCTAGGAGATTAGTTCACAATGACAGTAGTCCTAGGAAGGGAAGAAATGCTTTCACCAGTTATTTAGTTGTGGGTTTTTTTTTTTAATAAAAGTTTACAGATAATTGTTGTGTCCAAAAATAGCTTTGTAGCCACGTTCACATAAGATACTTAGTGCCATCCTGTAGTTGCTTCTGTCAATGTCTTATCATAGTCACAGATAAGGAACACCAGAATCTACATATTTATGAAGTGTTGTCATCCTCATACAGGCCATGTTGGCTGCATGCCAGATTTCATCACTAGGAAGTGACAGATACTGTTTTTTTTTTTCTTTTTTTTTTATGTAATGTTAGACTGAAAGCAATTATAGATTTTGGATATATTAAATTATTTTAATTGTTTCCCAAATTTTCCCTCCTTGGCCATAAAAGCAGACAAGATAGGATATAAAGGTAACAGCACAAAAGCCTTAGGGAGACTGTCACAAAAAATCACTCTCTGCTATCTGTCTTGAAGCACGTCACTACCGTGTTTTTGTTCAGTCTATCAATGTTTTATTGTGGTCCTTATGGTATTTCATTTTGTCCGTCCTAAGTAATCAAATACGCACAGCTATTACATTTAGTTGGAAATCCTGTTGGTCCTGTCCCATCCGTATGCAGCCTGAATCCTAATGTTTGTTAGAATAGATGCTAAGCTGCTTCACTATTTCCTGGGCTTTGCTTATTCTGTGGAAAGGAATGTACTTTTGGCATAAAGTATAGTCATTAAAACTGGCCTATACTTTGTGCAATTATTTAACACACTGTAATTTCACATGAATATACGGCAACTCTGAGACCAGATAAAGTTAACGTTCGCTTTTATTGTGTGCCTAAAATCATATGTGCTTTCCTACTTAAGAATTTGGAGGGATTTGGTCTTAGTAACAGGGAGCTGAAACATTTATACCAGTAGGTATCCAATATTGCATACAGCCAATAACATTCTATTCTATGAGCACAGAAAAAAAAGTAGCATTTTACGCAGCTGTGTTTGCGCTGTGCACTCATCTCTTGTTACTTTGCCAAAAAAAAAGGAAAAAAAATAAAAAACAAACTTAATTTTGTCTGGCCTGCAGGTATTTAGAGGATTGGTGCATATATTTCCTGCCTGTACAGGTAAGTGGTGTCTCAAGTGTCAGGCCAATCGCAGATGCCACTTTGTTAAGAAATACATTCCCCAGGTAATGTTGCTGTTCCACTCCATGTGCAATTACAGTATTTGTGCTGTTTTAAAGGCCTGTTCCCAGTAAGTGTCCCTTGTTCGTATCTCTTTCTTTCTTCTGGGCTGACGTGATGGCAACGTTTAAATCGCTGGCGATGTTCTGCTTTGTGTGTCTCGACAGAGGGCTGCCCCGGGCTGTGCAACAGCAACGGACGGTGCACGCTGGACCAGAACGGCTGGCACTGAAAAAAACGGGCGGGGGGCCGGCTGCGACGTGGCCATGGAGACGCTCTGCACGGACAGTAAGGACAACGAAGGAGGTGAGTTTTAACAGGGGGAAGGTATGCCGAGGAACGGAGGCTTTTGTACTCAGGTGAAAAAACTGCGGCTGCGAGTGACAGGACAAGGGGTAATGGGTACAAACTGAAACACAGGAAGTTCCCCCTCCATGTGAGGAAGAACTTCTTACTGTGAGGGTGACAGAGCCCTGGAACAGGCTTCTCAAAGAGGTTGTGGAGTCTCCTTCTCTGGAGATCTTCCAAACCCGCCTGGATGCCACCCTGTGCCACGTGCTCTGGATGTCCCTGCTGGAGCAGGGGGTTGGACTAGATGATCTCTAAAGATCCCTTCCAACCTCAACCACTCTGTGATTCTGCAAGAGGCACGTGTTGCATTTTAGCAGGGCTCGTGCAACGTTGGCCGCGTTCGCGTGGCACACGAGCAGAGCTGCACGAGGTCACTGCAACGGGTGAAATACGAATTAGAAACTGATTGGAGGTACATCAGTTTCCTTGTGATGTGTCTCTGTACTGGAATAAAGCATGGGCCAAATTCTATGAATTGTAGCAGAAAAAAAAAAGAGAAAGATGGGAGTTCAAATTCTCAGTGACCTCACAAGGAAATTATCCCAAGAGAAAAGACCGAATAGGGACTTTACATTGTGACCTGTGATGCTATTCCTGGAAACAATGGCTTGCGTGGGCCATGAAGATCTCATTCACCCATAGCCTGTGAACACTCAGATAATTGACAGGATGCTCCTGGAAGTCTGTCTTTTTTTTTTCTTTTTTTTCTTTTTTTTGCTTGCTTTTCTGCGCTCTGTCACTCGTGTGACAGATACCAATCTGCCCTGAGATGCATGCACAACTCGTGACTGAAGGAATCAATCTGTGATCAGATCTTTGTCGGGTACTGAAGATAGATGGGCTGTGACTTTCTGACATGAGTCAAATCCCACAAAAAATCACAAAAGCGGTTAACATGTGAATGTAGTCAAACATTAGATTGTTGTAATACTTTTTTGTTTTTCTTGTTCTCTCATCTGCTCTTTTTATTTAACATCTTTAGAGCACAGATTTAAAAAAGCCTCCATTAGGGCTTTTCGGTGATGATGATGATACCCTTATTTTTCATCTCCAGACTGGCTATTCCTGTCTTATTGCTGGTTGACTGTTCAATCTCATATCCTGATTGCAGTTGAGATCTGAGACATCATAAACCAGAAATAACATGGTCCAAACAGTGCTGCTGTTACTCACTATCTTATACATCATTTGATTTACCATGCTACTCCTTTACATATTTTATATTTTGAATCAACTTTGCACATTTAGAGGCTGAAGAATCTGGGATGATCTGAGCTACAGTGAACTAGTGCAAACCTGAGTTCTGCATGTATGAAGGGAGCAAGAGGAGTGAATTAGCCATAGGCTGAATTGGGTTCAGATGGGCCAAGGTATTATGAACATAAGGAAGACAGGGAACCTGCAAGGATGAAAAGAGACAAAGCAAGGAGGAAAAGAAATTAGGAAAGTTAGAAAAAAGGCAGTTTGGAGAGAAAAAACAGGTGATGTGGGAAAAAAAAAGAAAAAGAAAAAGCCCAAGGATAGACTTAAAACATTTCAGTAAATATTAAAGATAATAGAACTAGGTGGCATGACAAAAAGCAAAAGAGAGAGAGTCAACAGCAGATAACAGGGCAGCAGGAGGAAGAGAGTCAGTGAACAGAAAGGCACATAAAGGGAAAAGGAGATGCTCCTTCAGACTGAAAAAAATGATAGTTTTTGTGAGTAAAAGAGAGAAAAGAATAAGGAATTGGAGCAGAAGGAACTTAACAGTTCAGCTTAAAGTTCAGAAAGAAAGACAACATTGGGAAAAAAAAGTCTTTTTAGAGTGATATTTGTATTGCCTTTTCTCTCTTTTTTATTATTATTTCCTTTGCAGACATGACCCAGCTATGTACGAGGTAGGGACTGGCCAGCTGTTTTGCCATGGTTGACCTACATAATGCTATTTTTGTCAGTGGCATTTCTCTTTTAGTGGTCCTTGTTTTTCATTTATGTGCTTCAGTAAGAAGCATATTCACTTCAGTCTTTGATTAATGGCTGAGGGAAAAGGTTAAACTATAACATTTAAATTAAATTAGATGAAAAACTGTGAGGATACCAAACGAAACGGGGAAAGGTGAGTTCACATTGCTAGAAATCCACCTGGCAAGAGGGGAACTGTTTCTTCCCATTCCAAGAACACTTGCAGTCAGCCAGGGATCTCTCGAGCAAGCCGTTCGGATTGCAGAAGGACGTCTCCCTGCCGTGTTTACTTAGTGTGGGAGATGAGATTATCCACACACTTAGGCTGGATTTATACTCATGACCCCAAGTGGAGTGATTTACATTGCACTAGGCTCAGTGGTTATATAATTAAAGTTATCTTGGTTGTTCGCTAATTGATATACTGTGGTTAATGTTTATGTTTCGTCATACCCTGGATGAAATATATTTCGTATATTAGGATAACTAGTTTGTATTAAGAGTAGCGCTTGCTCTTGCTTTAGTTCTCAGCTCTTTTTGGAGCCAAGTGTTCAGATTCTGTGAACATGAACATCCACTGACTTCAGTGGGAAAATTATCTATAGGAAGTGATTATGGAATAAAGTACATTCTTGATCATTTCCCCTCCTGTGTGCTATCAACATAACATGGCATGGTTATTACGTGTCTTCATTGTGATACAGGTTTTTGAAAGCCCTACAGATCACATCCCTTCTCTTTTAAGGATACTTCTTTCTCTGTTTTCCCATGTGTTTGGTTTAGATAGTAAATAACAGAATGTCCATAAATTTCAATAGCTTAGAAGGGATGCATGTGCCACAAGCAGACCTTAGGCAGAACTGAACTCTTAACAGCTCTGTGGGAGAGAGGGGAAAGTTCGCCAGGAGTTTTTCATGAGTGGAATATGCCTGAATTTATACTAAACAAAGCGGGACATGTTTTATTGTCATTCCATAGGAAAAATAAGCTGTAGACTCTTGAATTTAGGTAGGTTGTTATTGAAGAGGTTACTTTTTTAGGCTTTTATTAGTTCCTATTCAATTATTGAGGGTAGTGACAGGTTATCCCCAATAGAGATTAGTAGGGATTATTAACGTTTTTTATGCTAAAATTAAAATAAATATTATAACAAAACAAGGCTTGCTTAGTACTTGGTGTATTTTTTCAATTGCTAACATACCCTAGGTCATCCAGCTCATAATAATCCTGTCATAGGGGACTACAGAGACAGTCTCTGCACTGATCTTTAGATCACTTAGTCCAGTGTCCCTGCTTTGGCAGTGGCTAATGGCAAGTGCTTTGCAAAAGTGTGCAAGAATTGGGCCTATGCAGAATGATCTTTTCTATTGTATACAGGCAGGCTGCTAATTAAAATAGGAAATTGGTGCCTGAGATTTTGCATGTCAGAAGATAAACTAAGCACAAAGATAGCCCAGGACTTTTCAGAAAGTTGAATTAGGATGGATACAGGGGAGTGCTGAGGTGCTCTGGCTTGTGCTCACATACCCACTATTCTTTGCCTTTCCGTTTGCATCCACGGCTGCTGGGGAGTGCTGGGTTGCTTTACCTGCTTTGCTTATCTGCCGTGAGGCCAAGAGTCATTTCTGAAGTGACAGTTAGTTTGGAGCCTAACGCTTGGTATTTTAGGCTGCTTCACTGCAACACAAACGTTGTGGGTCCTCTGCTGTGTGAACTGCCATAGTCGCTGACTGCGCAAGGTGCTCGTGCGCTGCTTGGGGAACACGATGTGATCCTCATGTACCCGAGGATAACTGTGGTTTCTCTGTATGAGGTTTCTGTCCATCCCAGCCTCTTCCCTTAATGTGCCACGTCGCTGCTGGTCGGTAGGGCAGCAGTACAGCTCCAAAACTGCCTTCTTCCTATGTAGACACTGGGTTTTACCTCATAGAGTTTCTGCGTTACTTAAATGCACAATTAAATTATATACCAACAGTGTGATCTATGCAGGTCGTAGGCATAATCCACTCTTAACACTTCGGCTGAATTTATAATGTGGAATTATTTTGTCCCACAGATTTTCTTCCTTCCAGCAGTTTTACATATACCCTTTAAATCCCACTCAAAGGCAAACATTCACTTCATGCATCTTATTTTTAAACATCCAGAGGTGCATGAATTCTTCGTAGAAGTCTTGGCTCTCCTTCTTTAATGTTTTTTGTTTTTATTAGTCTCTCCAAGTGAGTAATCTTATCACCATACTGTGCCCCATTGCAGTTCCGTGCATTTTGCAACAAAGGGAAAAGTAGCATTAGTCAAGATTTTCACAGCTAGCCTTTAAGCTTTTGAGGAGGAAAACAGTAATGGAAGGAGGAAAACAGTAATGGACTCATTACCTCTGCTGTATATAGAGAAGCCACTTACATCTAGAACAAAAATATATATATAAGTGGTCTTTTGAGGCTGATAATGACTGTCCATCTGGCTGTGACAGTTTATTTTCCTTATAGGTTTTCTATCACATTTGAATGATATAGCTGGTAAGCTAGTGCTGCGCTTAGACTCATATTTTTAAGGCTAAACAAAATTCATCAATAATTTTGCAGAGCTATTTCAGGAAGGAAATCTTCCTCTGCTTCACACAGTGCAATAGAGTAGTCAACTTAGTGGTACTAGATAGCTCTAGCCACATAAGTACAGAGAAAGAATGAAAAATGTTTTCTGAAGTTATAAGGAGCCAGATTCATAACCATCCGTCACTCGCCTGGGCAAGTTGCTGATAAACTCCACAGAAAAATAACAAACAGCGTGTCCCTGTATCTTGGCTGGTGAAAATGAGATTCTTTCTCTGATTGATGTTAGTGGAGAGACTTGTAAAAATGCATTTCCAGCTGATTAGTTCAGAAGGTGTCAATCTCATGCAGTTTTATGACCTGCAGACTATGTGCCAGATGTACATTTGCTTTTTATAAACTAACAAAGATGAATGACTAAATTTTAGCATTCCTTTGGCAACTGTACCAGATATTGCCTGTGAGACCATGCAGAGGTATAAACGAACAGAACTCTGCTTTTAATCATCAGGACCCTTAACTTTGACACCAATCCAGGCTTCCAGAGTTAAAACCAGCAAGGGAGATCAAGTACTTCAGCCAGAAGGGAGCTCCATATTGTACAAGACTGAGGCTGCAGATGGTCACAGAGTCGCAGAATGGCCGAGGCTGGCAGGAACCTCTGGAGATGGCCTAGTCCAACCCCCCTGCTCGCGAGGGGCCGCCTGCACCGGGCTGCTCCGGGCCACGTCCAGCTGGGTTTTGAAAATCTCCAAGAATGGGGAGTCCGCGGCTTCTGCAGCCCAGCAAGGTCCTCCAAATGGCAGCACAACCATCTGGTCTATCAGCTGCTCCTCCCAGGAAAAGTCAATATTATTTCTTTTCTCTTAAAAAAAAAGTTTAAACTTTAATGTCCTTAATGATGATATTTTGTCCCTTTTTTATTCCTTGAACTCACTTCAATGTCAATTGCGTTAAATAGGAATTATAGATGTGAAAAAGAATAGAAATCCCAAGTCTCTACTATTTTGCCAGTCCTCTAACTGATCTGCATAGCAAGGCAGTTCTTAGAGGAATACCTTTAGAAGATCTCTGCTTACTTACATTCTTTCAATATGTGATTGAGCAACAATGAATGAGATTTTTTTCCTTCAAAAAGAAGTTTTACTATAAAGCTAGATACCTTTGTGAAAGAAGCAGTCATGGGCTTCCTCAGAATGCTGTAGGGGGTACATTTTTTTCAGCTCAGTTGCAGCAGACAAGCTCCCTCCGTAATCTAAATGAAATAATAAAATGTTGGAGCTATTTCAGTCTTGCTGTTCTTTTGGAGAAGCAATTATCAGCTATGTGATACCATATTACATTCATCTCGAAATTTTCTGTAGCTGACATTTCCAGGCTCATTTTCCTTATGACTTTACTTACAGCAAATTAGTAGTTATCAATTTGATCTTGATTTTAATCTTTCACCAAATTAGATTTCCAGTGATGTGACAGATCTAATGCTCATTATATGTGAATATTAAGCACATAAGCATAAAAGCACCCATGTGTTTAAATCGTGTTTGTACTGGCCAGTACTTCTCATCAGTGTATTCAGAATAAATTCTAAATGTTAAGTACAGATTTTGTTTTCTCATACATTTTCATGCAAAATAGTTGTGGAAATTGCCTTTGCCACTAGCAACAAAATATTCTTTCAGAGTATAAAGGAATCCACCTTGATAAATGTTGCTAAATATTTAAAGCTACTTGCAGCATAAATATGCTTAAAAAGTTCAGGAAAACGGCAGACCGGGAGCTACCTGTTTCTTCTCTCTAATAAGCTAAATAACCTCCGAGAGAAGCTACTTAGCCCCCCTACAAATGTTTAATGTTTATAAGTTAGGAGTGTATGCAGAGCCTTAAGTCCCCACATTTTTTGCTTTGTTCCACAAGTTTTCAGAAAAGTATCGAATAAATACATTTAATACGTACAAGGGAATGAGTGTGCTCAGCTTACATGAATTTCCCTAAGAGGCTTAAGAACACAGAGGAAGCAAACTAGCATTAATTGAGAGTGAATTCATACTAATCTTAGTTATTAATATTCTTTCATAGTACCTAGTGTTTTAAATCTCTCTGCTAGCCGGCTTCTTCGCATACAAAGCACGGGAAGAAGACTTTGTTCATTTGTGTGAATTTCTGCCAACAGATGGGCTAGTGGACTGTATGGATCCCGACTGCTGTTTACAGAGCTCTTGCCAAAATCAGCCTTATTGCCGTGGCCTACCTGATCCCCAAGATATTATCAGCCAAAGTCAACAATCGCCATCCCAGCAAGCTGCCAAAGCGTTTTATGACCGGATCAGTTTTCTCATAGGATCAGAGAGCACTCACGTCATACCCGGCGAAAGCCCTTTCAACAAGAGGTGGGCACGACTCATCTTCTACTCACGCGTGTGAAAAGCCACTGAAGAGTGTGTGAGAGTCGTCCTAGGAGACGAGCCACTGTGAAAATGTCATGGAGTGGGCTTTCCACAAAGACACATTGTCTTCGTTTTTGTCAAATTGCTTATTTTATCTCCTTTCCTATAAAATTCAAATTGCTAGTGCTGGTAGGTTACAACAGGTACTTGCCATGCTTAGTACCTGTATTCTAACAGGGCACTTCATTAATGATTAAATAAATCCTCCTTTAACTAGTTGATTTGGGATAGCACAGTTGGAAGTATATCAAAGCAATGAAAGCACTTCAGAAGGAAAAGCAAAGTTCCACTTTTAAAACTGAGCTCACTAAATAATATAAATTATGAAATAATGTAATGGAACTGTTAAGTGCACGCCAGTATAATTGCATAAACTATTTGACTGGTGCTCTATGAAACTGTAATGACCTGAAAATAAACCAGTAACAGGAAGCAGGTGTCTTAGATCTCACTGAGTGAAAGAAGATGATTTACACCAGAACTACTGTGTTTGCAGTAATTTAACAGCATTAATGTGTTTGGGCACAGCAGTTGATTAAAAGTTGTTGCACAAATGTTCCTTATTGCTCTTTTAAATTTTGTACTTAGTCCCTGCAGTTTTACAGATTGCTTTGATACTAATTGAAAAGTACATTTTCCTTTATGAATCTGCCAGAGGTATGACTTATAGTGGGAACATCTGAAGTTTATAAGTTCTTAAAATTCTTCGCTGAATTATTGGTCTTAGTAACTTAGCACAGATAAAATGAACCAAAGTAAACTTGGCTAAATTAAAACAAAGTGATTAGCTATAGATGTTGAGGCATATGTTTAGAGAACGTATATTATGTGAACTTGTAAAAGGGTTAGAAGCTTGGGAATGTTTTTGTTAGCGGTACTTGATACCATGAAGAGAGATGTGCCTGTGCACAGTATTGGCTGGTATTCATGTAGAAGAGAACTAAGAAGTCTGAAATCTTATCCTGAATCTTTTTCACAGTCTTGCATCTGTCATAAGAGGCCAGGTACTAACTGCTGATGGAACACCCCTCATTGGTGTCAATGTCTCCTTCTTACACTATCCAGAATATGGATATACAATCACTCGGCAGGACGGAATGTAAGTTCACTTTGAAACACTTCTCAGACATAGAAACAGCAAATACATTAATAGATCAGGAGTTGCTTGTACAAATAGTATAATGGAAACAAAAGGCATGAAGAAGTTAATGAGGAAAGCTTTACTTTGTATGTTCTTCAAATAATGTTAAGCATGCTGATTATATACTTCAGAAGTAAACGGACTTGTTTAATGTAAATGAGGCATCCCAAATTCTCCCGTCTCAGAATACAGTATTATGTGATGTAATTTAATTGATTTCTCCATTGTTCCCAGTAGAGCTATTCTGTCTTCAGAGCAGTACAATAGGATGAAGAATCAATCAGTAGAATGGAAACTGTAGATGGCTTTGGGAATTTGCTGAAGAGCTAACCCAGCCTTTTTTCCAGGTTTGACTTGGTAGCAAATGGTGGTGCCTCCCTGACGCTGGTATTTGAACGATCACCCTTCCTGACACAGTTTCACACGGTGTGGATTCCCTGGAATGTCTTTTATGTCATGGATACCCTGGTCATGAAAAAGGAAGAAAATGACATTCCTAGCTGTGATCTGAGTGGATTTGTACGGCCAAACCCCGTTATTGTGTCATCACCTTTATCTACCCTCTTTCGAATTTCTCCAGAAGATAGTCCTATCATCCCAGAGACACAGGTAAAACGTGCTTCAAGTAAATAGCATTTTATTTCAGAAATTTCCTAAATGATTATAAGGAAAATAGTGCAGACTGCATTTTTAATAGATATTTTTGACTACTAAGAATTTGCAGCATATAATGATTTTCAGAAAATTTACTTTTTCTCTGGGTGGATTGTTTTAAATTTCATTAGGGGAAAAAAAAGAGAAATAGGAAGAAAGCTTGCTACACACCAATATCTGGTAAGAATTTGCAGCATGTAGTGATTTTCAGACAAATTTACTTTTTCTGTGGGTTGATTGTTTTAAATTTCATTGGGGGAAAAAAAAAAGAAATAGGAAAGAAAGCTTGCTACACACCAATATCTGGTTTTATGTTTGTTTGTATCATTTAAACTACAGTATCTTCACTTATTAGGCATTGTCCCATAAAAATCTGACTTATTTTGTCTGTCAGTTTCACAATTTCATAATTATATAGGACACACTTTTGGCCCATTCACTAAGAAATGTGTTTGCATTGTCAGGTGAAACACAGAAAATGTATTCAAATTGTTTTCACTGAGGGCTTTTCAGAAAAAATCAATTCAGCAATTCATGGAAGGAGCAGGTTTAAATAAAGATGCAAAGGAATTGCAACTAAATGCTCACAGACCTAGACAGTGCTAGCAAATGGTTGCTTTTATTCTCACTATCACTTCTGTGCCTTTGGTAGTTGCAAGTCAATTAGAAAAAGGTGCTTGCAAAATACAGTCTGCAGAAAAACAGCATTGATTTCCTTATTTTGGCAACAGATGATGGATTCAGTTCCTGAAGTGATGGAAAATGGCTTAAATAGATGGTGCATAAATCAAGAAAAGTAATAATAGAAAAATGTCAGAAAATACATTTTTTCAAGGAACAATTGCAATGTCTAGATAAACAAGTCATTCTGTGAGCAGTGGGACTAATGAAGTCTGGTTTCCTACTAATTCCCACCCGTCGCTGTAATCCCAGCTAACTGCCAAGTCCAGTCATTCCCTCATGGAGCGCACTCAGCCTTTTTCTCTGAGGGGGTATTAAATTTGGATAGTTCTTCCCTACCTGAATCCTGTTTTCTTTTACAAACCTTTACTGAATTATATTTAAGATTTCTACTATTACTTGAAATGCGGTTGAAATTATCTGCCAAGTTCAGAAGTTGTGAGGTGGGAGGTCTGGCAGGCAGTGCTGCTGTGAGGTCAGGCTGATTTATTTAGAAAAATGTCCAGAAGAAAAGGTCACATTCTCACAAGTTGTTATGCAGTAGATGCTTATGTGTAATTTCTGATGAGATGAAAAAGGGGTTATTATTACATATATTACATATGCAAAACTTCAGTAATTGTACTGTTTGAAAACATCAAGGAATCTTTCTCTGAGCTCCTCTTGTGTCTTTGGAAATGTGTAATGCACAATAGTCAGTCTTCACAAGTCTGATCTTTAAAAAAAAAAAAAAAGGCAGATTCAGATTATATTCAAAACTATTTGTTCAGCTCTTGAGGAGCTGTTGCAAAAGGAGGCAAAGCCACATTAAGAGGATGGGAGACTGGAGCAAGCAAAGAGAAGGAAGCTCTTCCTCGTGTTCTTTCAGTCAATATCAGTCATCCTCTTTGTGTGATGTGGCAACACTCGGTATCACACGCAGGAGAAAATGCTGTGCTGCTGTAATCATCATCCCTGGAACAGCTTCGTCATCCTTTGCAGATGATGTTGCCAACGAGCATACCTAGTGGTTTATGAGTCCAAAATGATCAGAGGGGAATTCATAGTCTGTACTAAAGAAGAAGAAGAAGAAAAAAAAAAAAGAGGGCAAGTAAGAGCAAAGCAAGAAGGCAGTAGATAGAGGTGCAATCACAGACCCAAAGGCACAACAGATCGTTAGTCAAAAGGAAAGATAACAAATCTAAGATAACAAACAGGCCAACTAAATTTGGATTATTTAACCATGATGTTTTATCTACCTCTAATTGAAAGTTAGCATGCTCTGCCTAGACTTAACTAACTGGGATTAATCGGTGTAGAATAAGATGTTAAGCTACATGCAGATAAGGCAGAGGATCAAGTTAAGCTGGAGCTACTGATATGTGCTAGGTAATGTTGCTGTCTTTTTCCTAACATAGTAGTTGTCTGTATGCTACGTGCTGCAGTATGGCCTGGCAGAGACCCACATGTGAGTCAGACTGAGCTGTTTGGAAACAGTTTTTGTGGTGGCTTCTTCCACACTTCTGTTTTTCACCTTTAGGTGAGACCTGAGAAGGTCCTGAGCAACTTATTTCAGGGGCCCCAAGAGTGTGGGAGAATCAGGATTTTCCTTCAGATTCATGTTTTCCCCAGTATGGAGAGAAGTGGTTTTGGCTACGTCTGGGTAGTGTGACCCGCATGTTTAGGGGACCAATGTAGACCAGACGTGCATGTTTAGGGGACCAGCCAGCAACAGGGATGCTTGGTTTAGTTGAAGTGCTGCCGGGCCAAACCATTTCTGTGGATAGATTTTCTCAAAATCAGCTCAAAGTTTCTGACTTTTCTTTTTCTTTACCGTATTCCTTGAAATTTTTACATTATTGGCAATACAATAGAGCAGAAGTTGACAAAATCTGTTTACCCACCAAAGTTAAGGGGAAAATACTGGCCCCAATGACTTAATAAAAATGATTCTTTTAAATTCAGAGTTGACTAGGTTTAGGCTTAAGAAGTGAATCTGTTCTGTTATTCACATGGAAAACCTAATAGGATATGTAGATATTTCAGTGTTATACAGATGCTACATCTTGTTTTCACTGGACTAAATTTACAAAAAAAAAAAATGGAGTTTACAAGTAACAAGATGCAGGTATCTCCATTTACGTATCTTTGGTTTTCACCAATTTTTCTTCTGTCTGTAACTTTATATAGTGCTCTTGGTATATGCGTTTACTGACTTATTTTAGGCTCCTACAGGTATATGGCCTCATCTCTGTGGTATCTCAGCAAGTCTAGGAAGTTGAGTGTTTTTTCCCTTTTCATATTTATCCTTGCTTTATATAGTCATCCTAGGGTTATAGTACCCTAGATTTTCCCCATAAGCTCATTTTTAGAAGCCTCAGTTCTAGGGAAATTCTTTTTCTAAAAGGGAAAGGTTTGTGTATCTTGAAATGAACAACTTCAGCGTATACTTAAAGTGGTATAATTTTAGTTTTCTTTGGCCTCAAGCGTTGTGTGATGCAGTAGTTACCAATATTTATATGCTTCTAAGAGAACCATCTTTGCCCATCTCAAGCCATGATGTTGTTCCATTCTATTGCAGCAGTTAAGCTGTTATATCTCGGTGAAGAATCTTTTCCAGGTGTTTGGATTAAAGTTTGCACTGATTTGTGGAAGTTTTCTCCTATTTGCTACTCAAGTTGCTCATTTGCAAAAAAAAAAAAAAAGGGGGGGGGCAAAAGGAGCATGTTTTCTCCCTCCCAGTGTGAGTGTAATATCCTCCTTCAGGGTTCCTAATGCCATCAGAGCATGTCACCTGAATCTCATCATATTTCAGAGCAGTAGAGGGCTGCGGAGCTTTAGTCCTGCTGGGCATGAGAGACAAGGAATCCTACAGAATTTATGTGACTTACTGGCCAACTTGAACTCTTAAGACAACTAATTCTGTTTTTGTGAAAATTGCAGTGACCCTTATCTTAGTCCTGTAGGTTAAATATTTCACAGATGTCCTTCCAAGAAGCTTGGTCATCCATAAATAAAATGTCAACCTTTAGAACGTGGTAGTTGGGCTATAACTCAGGCTCCTTAGAGGATCAACCTTTCTGAGGGTAGTTTGACACTCTATCAGGAAAAGTTAAACTACAAGACAGATTGGTTGTGTTGGCGATTTCTGATGTGACTTTTATACTCAAGGACTTTCCTGGTGGCCTCACAATTGATGTATTGTCATGACTCCCACAAGATGCTCTCTGCTGTGCTTAATGACCACTTTTCAGAAGATTGTTAAACTGTTTAATTCTGTTTATAGTGCTTGATTTCAAGGGAGAGCTTAAAATGCAGTCCAGTGTCTCTAGATTTTTAAAATTCTCAAGAAATTATGTTACTACAGGAAGTATTTTACAGCAAGAAGAAAGTTGTGAGGTTTCCAGCAGATGTGAGGTCTTTACAGAAACTAATAATGGGGTTGGGTTTTTGTTCTAAACCTCGCTGAGAACGGAATGAGTGTCCCAGTTTCTAATTCAATATCATCCCAATACACAGTGGATTTTCTTGAAAATTGAAGCTTCAAGGTGTCGTCTTTATTGCCTGTTATCTCAGCCAAGACTATTGGAAGACCACC